ACATTTTCTTCCTTTGGGAAAAAACATTTTAATTTAAGAAGTCTTTGGGATATAAAATGCTGGAAAATGGGTCATTTTTTGTCTGTGAGAAAAAGTATAAAGGCACCATAGATGACTATCCATTTCTCTTTGGGTTTATATAAACTGAAAAAATGAATTCCATGTAAAGGCTGAGGAAAAGACTGATGAATTATGTCAAAGAAAAAACCTATGAATAACTTTGACAGTGAGTTGTCTTTCAGAAATTTTTTTAAAGGAAACTGTTACGTAATGGTTTAAAATAGCAAGAATTAGAGTCACCTCTTCATGATCACTTAGAGTTTACTGATTTACAGAGATTAATTAACCAGTCCCTCTTCAGTAACTCAAACAAGGGGCCAAGGCTCTGAATACAACTTGTAACTAACAGTACACAGGCATCAAGACATTCTTTTATAGGGCACTTGCCATATTCTAAATAGCAAATGTGTAGTTTTATTAAGTTTTCCTATGTTTCTTTTCCTTTACTTCTTTCTTGTTTGTTTTACTTTAACCTTGCTTCCCACACTATGTTTCAATCATTGTCAAATGTGATTAAGACTTTCTAGGTCATCTTGTAGGATATCATTGAGATGACACTTTCTTTATAAAACATGCTTTATCTCCCCTAAACACTTGGTCGAACCTGTGCTTGACTGTAGAAGTGACAAAAACCTTAAGAATTTACTCTTTTCTGTATGTGTAGGCATGGACATGGAGCACCATTAAAATAAACCTGGCCCCATATGGGTTTCTAAGCTCCTTCTCCCTCCATTTTTTAAATAAAACCCTAAACCCCCTATGTTTCATCACTGAAACACACCATCAACTCTCAAACACCCTTGCCTTCTGTTAATGATGTCCTTTCAGCCTGATGTTTTCTTTCTCTGGGTCAGGTTTTGAAGTTCAGCTTTAATGTTGCATTCTTTGTGACATCCTCTTTAATTTCCCCAGTTGGGAGAAGACAGAACTTCAAAGGCAAGACCCAAATCTTATTTGTCTCTGCATCTTTGGTATCTGGCGTATACTCTGTATCCAACACTCAGACAAACCAAATAAACTGGTCCTTCCCCTGGATGCGCTCAAACTTCAGCTTGCCATTACTCACCCTCTGCTTGGATATGATTTTTGAAATTGACTGTGGTATTGGCAAGATATGGGCAAAACTGAAAATCTTATAGAAAACAGAGATCGGTAGAAAAGGACAAATAATGATTATGTATTTACATACACATACATAGAATATATAAAATTTCTAGAAAACCTCTTTTCTGCTTTTGTTGGTATCAAGAAATTTCTCCAGAAGGTAAATGTTTCCAAAAGTCACCTTGAGACGTTTGTAATTTAGCAAAATGCCAAGCATACTGTAAAGACTCAACACAATTACAGGTAATACTACAAGAAAGTAGTATAGCATGGTATGTTTTGGAATTTTGAAAGATATGAATTAAAAATCTGGCTTTTCTACTTATTAGCTGAGGAATCTGGGTAAATTATTTAATCTTTCTGAGCCTAAGATTCTGTTATCTTTAAAGGGGAAAATTAAAAATGTGCCTATCACAGGATTTTTGTTAGGACTATATGAAATAAATGTAAAAGTGCCTAGCATATGACAGTCCATAAATGTTAGCTATCATCACTCAACTTTTTAGAAATATTGCTAGGGAAGTATGGTATGCTGAGCTGATTTACCCTTTTGGTGTGCAGTTGGAAATACAGACCAGGATTTCTGACCCAGACTTCTCTGCTGAGATCTAGATCTCTGTTAATAGATCCACGTGCTTCTTTGATATCTCTACTCATAAGCTCCGCAGGCACCTCATATTAAAAATGTCCGAAGCTGAGCTCATTATTTTCCTCTCACAACAAATCTACTCTTTCTACCTATATTCCCAATCGCACTGCTCTTTCTTCTTATATTTCCAATCTCACTTAACAGTACCTGCCTGGTATGAAACACAAACTAAAAACCTGGGCGTTATCTTAAGATTTTTTCCTTTTCCTCATATTCTATATTTTGCCAAGATTCTTGTTAATCCTACATCCATAAATAGATCTGAAATCTGTTTCCACCCCATCCTATCACGCAGCCATTTTCTCTTGCCTAATTACCAGATTAGCCTGGTTATAATATCTTCTTCCCTTTGTGACCCATCTTCCACATGGCTTAATATGAATTCTGATCATGCTACACCCTTGATTAAGGGCCTGTAAATTAAAAACTAGTTGATGTCCTGGACTATCACACGATATTATACGTATTTTTTCATATTTTTCACCTAAATCATAATGGGATAACTTTTTTATTTTCATGTCTGCTTCTTCTATAAGCATTTGAATTCCTTAAGGCAAGAGATGATGTCATCTTCATATGATGTTCTAGCACATAACAAAAAGTTAAGATATTAAAGGAAGGACTCTATTCCACTTTAGTCAACACCATTTAATCAATATTGTTTTGTTCCTTTCCAACACTTTATCACCTTGGCACCTTATGAGCTGCAGATAACAGGCCATATATGCACAGTTAAAACCATTCAGCACTATCCTTTCTCCATATGTGTGCCAAAATACTGACATAGCAACTGAAATTTCCTACAAAGCACTGGAGATGAACAAGAAAATAAATTCAGTTCATAAAAACTGCCCTATAAAGCTTTGCATTTAGAATGCAGTTTTGTTAATAAGAACATCACTGGTCAGAAAGTGTGACTGACAAAGGCCTGATACCCAGTAACTGATCCCTAATGTTTGCCGTATCTCTTCCATTTCAAACATGACTGATATTAATTACCATCTAAAGAACTGGGCCAAAGTCCTTGTGAGTATGGGGGGAGAAAATGAAGCAAGGAATTAAAACTAGTTTTCCAATTAAATGATTGAGATTCTGCTTTGCTTTGGAAGTTCACGGTAACCTTGAAACTAAAATATTAAAAAAAAAAATCACAGGTGTGAATCACTGCCTGAGACTTCTTTCCAACATCAACACAGATATTTAACTTTAGTTCCTTGAAGGTATAAATAATTAATAAAATGAAATAAAAAGGTAGAATTTCCAGCACACGGTGAACATTAAAAAATTATAAATAACTGGTGATAATGTTGCCTTATAATGACCTACTGAAGTCAAAATTATTTCAGTTGATTTCTTAATCTAATCTTTTCCAATCTAAAGGACAAAAGTCCCTTATCACGAAGGGCAAACCATGAGAAAAATATGTCATCAGGGTGTGAACAACCTGAAAAAAACACAACTCCATCTACATTTGGGCACTCATACTGTTACAAATAATAGAATCTTGCCATGCCATACCTTGATTAACTGTACTCTGGAATTAATAATTGGGTATGATCATAAAACAGAGGAAAAAATTTTCTCATTTCTTTGTACACACTTCATTACACAAAGTTGGAGAAACTGTGTGTTAATTATTGAAGGCTACATTTTTTTCCAAGGGAGAGAGCTAAAATTAGAATTTAATCTATGTATTAAGTAATTAAGTACAAATAACACTATTTAAATTATTTTCAAATGCTGCCTGTATCTCTCTTCGAAGTTCTAAACTATCTCACTTAGAAAAACGTTTAATTAAAAAGCAATTCTAGACGCCCGATAGCCTACTGTAGAATAAATGCATATTCCCAACACTTAAACATTCTGTTAGCACATCCTATCATTCCACCTTCTCCTTTAAATACTCCTTTTAAAAATAAAAAGATGGGGGAGTAAATTCAGTTGCAAAGACTGGAGAAGGCACTTGCAGAACTTCTTAAGTTTATGTCATAAACTTAATAACCTGTAAAGAACAATCACTTTCCACTGCAAGTCATACAGAAATTAAAGTATCTTGGAGTGCCCCTACTATTTAACGCAGAACGCGGAAGCGGTTCTTAACTGCAAATGCAGTCTTGGAGAATCCAGGAGACTGACAGTTCTCCAGAGGCCCCTAGAACAGCCTAAAAGACCCCTTTAGGTGACCTCATCCCCGCAAGTCCACAGACTGGAGCCTGGGGGAGTTCTCGCCAGCCCGACGGCGAAAAAGAGCCTAGAAGGAGTAGATGTTCTTCCCTGGAAACCGTGCCAGCAGGTTTCCGTTCTTTAAAAAAGGAAGTCACCCGCTCCTTCCATCCCGACCTTATCCGCTCCTCGAATGCTCGTTCTGGATAAGGAAGACGGGCGGTGTCAAGGTTTTCTGGGGGAGAGGGGATCTGGGTCCCCAACACTGGAAGGGCCCCGGGTGCAGCCCACCCCAGAGCCGATATGTCACCTGGAAGGGTGACCCCAGCCCGGGTGGCGCCTCAGCCAGACGGAGAGTCTCCCCCTCCCCAGGTCCGTCGCCATCACCTCCTCTTCCTCCTTCTCTCTTACTCCTGCACTTTTCACCACGGCAGCCACTGCCCCGGAAGGTGCTCGCATCTCCAGCGGCCGCACACCACTTCCGCCTATGTGTCCCTGCGCGCGTGCGCAGGCGTGTAGTCCCGCCCCCTCGCCGGCCTGGGGCGACGGCCGGCTTCCGCGCCATTACCCCTCGCGCATGCTCTGTCCGCTCTGGGGAGCGGGACGGGCGCTACCTGGGTGAGCCTAACAGTGCGAGGCCCGCTCTTCAACTCTGGGATGGCTACGACAGGCGACAATCTGGTCGAGAATGTCATTCTCAGACCAGTGCTTCGTGTATTTCTGGCCTCTGAGGTCCCCGGAGTTGCAGCTGCCGGGTACCCTGACGCTGTGGGTGCCCACGAGGGAGGCGACTTCCACGTCAGTGGCCCTGGGCTGGATTTGAGAATGCGGCCACGTGGAGAATGTTGGAACCAGATTCAAAAATCCTTGGCTTCGCTCTTCCCCCCAGCTTGATCTAAATGAGATGCGGCAGAAACACTACCTTTCTCCGTTTCCATGTTGCCTGATTCGTAGGTGCTTTTCCGGTGAATGTGGGCAGAAGTAACGCTTGGGATGGTGTTTCTGACGTTATAATTCAGCATGTAGCTGCGACAACCGCGATCCTCGCAACGTCACAGAAATGTTGCCAGCATTGTTTTGACAATGCTAGTTACTGCTTGGAAGGTAAATCCAAAGCTCGAGGACCGGCTATCAAAAACTTTCCTAAATATTTACCCCGCATTTAGGGCTGCATCTATAATCACTGAGATGTAATGATGTAAAAACCAAGATAAGATGTCGATGAGTTGTTTTTAGATAACACTTAAAAGAATGATGTGGAAGGAAAACAGTACTATAACAAAGATGGACAATCTTTGAGAACATGCTTTGGATACCAGAAAGAGATGAATTGGATTAATTTATATGTTAGAATCCAGTCAGTTATGGTCAACTTTAAAAATTTTACAGGCGTTATGCAGAAAGGGCAGCATTTATGTCTTATGTTGGGAGTGAGGGTTTGTATTGAAGCAAGTCAGGCATCTCCTACCGTAAGTGGTGGTGAGAAAAAAGGATCTGGTTAGGCATTTTTTCATTTAATACTTACCAACCTTGTTAGGCCAGTGTAAGCAACATTAGGAATGTTGAAATTAAGGTTTATAGAACTTAAATTTTCTAAAGAGATAGTAAATAATACAGGCTTTCAACGATGCCGTACTGTCACTGAATAATGTGGATTTCCTACTACTGTTAGCCATGTATACAATTGTTTATCAAACACCTATTAAATGGGCATATGTATAGGTCATATACATAATCCATAAATTACAAGTATGAGCTCCCTACCCTCAAGAGTTAGGGGTTCCGGTGAGAAGGTAAATGGCAGTTTAAAACAATTTATGGTACAAGAGGTGTCAAGGTAGTCTCTACTCGTGCGTGTTTAATTGCAGTAGATTTCAAATAGGGCTTTCTACTTACCGTTTATTTCTCTACACTCTAGTTCCCATTCAGCAGCTGGAGTGGTCCTTTTAGAACCTGTGGCAGAATGTGCTCTCCTCTGTGCAGAACCTTTAATGGCTTACTGTTTAACTGAGATTAAAGTTCAAAACCCTTACCATGGTTTATGAGACTAAACTTGTTCTTGATGGTCACACCCAAGCTACTCTTCAGAGCTTAACTATAACCATCTCCAAGCATATCAAGCATCAGTGCTTTGTAGCTGCTGTTCCTTCTTGCACAGAACACTGCCCTCTCAGATGTCCACAGGGCTTGCTTCCAGCACTTACTTCTGATAATGGATGAAATGTCACCTGATCACAGCTCTTCCCTGATGACTCTGTCAGTGAAACATTTCTACAGGTGAAATGTGTGAAAGGCTGGAGTAGTACTTACTGTAGAGTAGGCGTTTAATAAATATTGACTCCCTTACATTACATTACATTCCCTACATTTACTCTTGTGATAACTGCATGGTAAACAAAATTAAAGACTTGAAGCTATGAATTGGTTTTAAATTTCTAAGAAATTAATAATCCTGTTGTGTCAGAAGCCTTCAGTGTCCTGAGTTACAGCTTCTGAGCATCACTTCTGATTTTCGAGTTGGGGGAAAGTTTCATGCAAGCTTCCACACACTTCTCCCTGACAGCTTCTCTTCTCTCAGGTTTTCCAGGCCTCTGCTTTCTGCTCTGAGGCTCTTCCAACTTTGCAGATGCCAGCAGTAGTTCTCTCAGCTCATGCCCTGCACAGCCTTGAGTTTTGGTAAGTTAACACATCTGATGTTCTTCAACCAAGAGGCAGCAGTAGTTGGTGGATAAATGCCCCTGCTTCTTACCTGTTAGCAAGACAATTTTGTAGGCCAATCTGTGTGCTTCTCAAGAAGTCCAAGTGAAATTGAGTTCCAGTTGTCCACAGCAGCAACATCAAGAATACACTTTCGTATCATCTCTTTATCCTCGTTGGCCGTTCCTTCACTGTTCCACCTTCTTAATAACCTGCCCCGGCACAAGTAGTTGTCTTAAGTTATACTTATAAGGGAAACCAAGCTTAGAAATTTGGTGTAAGAAGAAAGTCTAGAAGGCAGCCCCTCAGAACTCTGTAACTAAGTTACTTACCAGATGGCAGTGAGGACTTCGTTAGTGATATTAAGGAGAGGACACATGCGTGGCCCAGCAGTTAAGGCTCTTTCTTACTAAAGCTAGTATAACTACTGCCTTTTTGGATGTCTGGCTATCAATAGCATAGATTGATGGTAAATTCTGTAAGAGGGGCAGCCAACTGCTTGATTGATTGCATAAGAGCCTTTCCTTCCTGGAGAGAGCAGTGGTTTGCACTGATGGAATTGATACCTTTTTTGATCTTAATTTGCCCTGTTTACAATGCCTCTGCCAGCACTACTATCTGATAGAGTTACAAACACCTGATTTTCTGACATTTTGCTTCCAACTAAGGGGCGCACTTTGTAGTAAAGGAGGTGTGACAATGGCACATAACCATGGGATCCACTGGTCCTACTACATATTGTATCACTTAGAGGAAGTTGGCCTGATGGAACATTGTCATGGTGTAGTGAACATCAGTAAGTCTCCTGCTCAGGAACAATACCCTAAAAGGGTAGGGATGCCGTCACCCTTGACACACACACTCACACACACAGCTGCCCCTTGGGAAGTCTGGGGGAGTTAACACCCCCAGGCAATGATCCACTAAGAGGGGATCAGTGTCTATGGATAAATGCCTGCCCTCTATCCCCCAGGGGGCGATTTGGGGGAGGCATTATTTATGTTTTTTAGGATGTGCTGGGGATGAAACTTGTGGGAGAGATAAGGAGAAACCAGCAAAGGAGACCAAGACAAAGCAGCTGTTGAGATAGGATGAGAGTCCAGTAGTGTGTAGTCTTCTGGAAGCCAAATGAAGAGTGTTTTAAGGAGAAAGGAGTGTTCAACTGTGACAGTATCAACTGGTGTTACTTAGTGGTGTTTCTATGAAGAATCATCTTGTATAATTAAGACTTAGACTCTAGAGTCAGATTAAATTTAAATCCTTGCATCACCACTTGCTTGTTGATTATCTTTTTAAAATTAACCTCTAAGTCTCAATTTCCCCATCTGTGAAATGAGAATGATAATAGTACCCACCTGATAAGTTGTGATGATTAAGTGAAAGAGGGTTAAAGGATTAAAGATGGTTAAATGGTTAGTACAATGCCTGTCACCTGACAAGCACTCAGTAAAAATCAGCTTTTATTTTTATTAATTTCCCTTACTATCATTAGATATCATCCATTTATTATTATCATCAGTTGTCTCTTTTCTAGCTCTCCGTAAAGAATAGCTTATATAGCATTTTCAAACTAGACAGTTCATGGGTAGATGTATGGTTCCAGATGCACTGAACAGAAAAACTAGTTAATTCAATCTTTCTTCAGGCTCCTTCAGATTGTTAGCAGAATCCAGTTCGTTGTAGTGGTTGAACTGAGATACCCATTTCCTTGCTGGTTTTCAGCTAGCTCGGGGGTAGGGGGCACTCTCAGCTTCTGGAGCTGTAATTCTTAGAAGTACTTACCTCCATGTACAAAGTCAGATGTGTTAAAACCTTCTCATGCTTTAAAACCCTGACTGGCTCTGGCTCTGATTGCTAGATCCAGACTTAAAGGGCTCATGTGATTAAGTGAGGCCTAAGAGGATAATCTCCCTTTTGATTAATGCAAATCAACTAATTAGTAACCTTAATGATGTTGGCAAAATCCCTTTTGCTGTGTTACAATGTAACATTTTTCATTTGTCTCGAGAATCATGCATGTTGTGTTTATCAATAGTGAATTCCTTTTTATTGCTGAAATACTTATTCCATTGTGTGCATTGCACAATTTGTTTATCATTTCACTTGTTACTGGACATTTAGGCTGTTTCCAGGTTTTGGCCGTTATGTATCAAGCTACTATTGAACGTTCATCTTTGGGTGGACCTACATTTTCACTTCTCTTGGGTAAATAACTAGAAGTGGAATGGCTTGGTCATACAGTAGGTGTATTAACTTTTTAAGAAACTGCTGAACTGTTTTCCAAAGAGGTTGTACCATTTTACATTCCCACCAGCAGTAAACGAGAATTCTAGCTGCTTCCTATCCTTGCCGAAAGGCTAGTATGGCCAGTCATTTTCATTTTAGCCATTTTAATAGGTGTAATAGTATCTCCCTGTGGTTTTAGTTTACAATTCTGTAATGACTAGTGATATTATGCATCTTTTCATATGCTTGTTGACTTATTGAGCATCTTTTCATATTATTTTTGACTTCTGTGAAGTGTTTTGTGAAGTGTTTACTCAAATCTTTTGCCCATTTTTTAAAAAGTGAGTTTTCAAAAAATTAAAATAAATTCTCAACTATTTGATTTTCTTTTTTATTGTCTATATTTAAGGTGTAAAACATGGTGTTTTCATACATATTTACATAGTGAAATGATTTACAGTCAAGCAAATTAACATATCCATCACCTCACATAATAAGGTTTTTGTTTTCTTATCACATTTAAGAGTTCTTTATATAGTCTAGATGGAAGTCCTTTTATCAGAAATGCAACTTGAAAATATTTTCCTCCATGTGTTGCTTTTTTAAATTGTTCTTTTTACAGCGTCTTCTGAAGAGAGTACT